AGTGTGTGTGTGTGTGTGTGTGTGTGTGTGTATATATATATATATATATATATATATATATATATATATATATATATAAACAGCCCAATTCCTTAAAAGGACTTCAGTCTTTCATAATTTCTCTAGGTAATCCTGTGTTTTGTCAGTTAAAAATTAATAATATATAAACATCATTACATATAGCCACTCTGTGTTCACAATCTTGACTTTTATGTATATATTATTTATTTTATTTTGCTTCAAATCAGGGTTTGTAAAGTTGTGAACTCTCTGCATAGCAGGCTGGTTGTAATGCTTTAACTGTTTAGTTTGCTAGCACCCATTGTTAGTCTTCAGGTGAACAATTAATCCAGATAAGTGAATCGACGGAAGAAAATATCAACAGTTGGTGGAATCTTCAATTAAAAACTGACCATCTTGAGGATATTCGACATGTTCGCTGAAATATGCATGGCCACGCCCTTCGAGTTGTTAGTTTGCTGCGAATGAAATATAAGAGGAGCTAAAAATAAACCCCGCCCCCTGCTCATTATTCCGTTACAGTTAAAAGCCTGCACCAATTTCCCATTCACACCGACTTTAAAATCCAACCCAGGCTCATTCTGAAAACGTACTACTATAAACATTTCTGGAGAGTCAGCTGTCTACTGACTGACCAATCGACTGATTCGACATCCTCCTTCCCCCTAAACCTAACCAATAGTGTTTTCAAAAGCACAGATTGACCAGCGCTCACTTCCCTAAACCCGCCCGACAGTTTTAAAAAGCAACCCAGAAAAAGAAAAGCCCTCGCCTGATTTTTACCATGTTTTCAGATTTTACCTTATTCTCACCCTGTAGTTTACTTGTTTTTTTTTTTTAGGTTTTATTTTAGGTTTATTACTTGCTTTCTGGAACCATTCTTAGTTGGACTTGAAGCCCATTGTTGTAGCCAGCTACTCTCTGTGTCTCAAGACCGCCGACATACATGGTGAGCTACTAGGCAAACTGGTAACAGCGGGAAAGGCGTTCATACGGAAGTAACTGGTCAGCTGGCAAGCGTGAAAAGGAACAGCATCACACCACTCCATAGCGTTCGTTTTAAAGATAAAATGCTGCCATACATACTTCTGGCTACATATTTTACAATCTCCATAAATGTATATAGGGCTACATTTTTTTAAAAATCCCAATGGAAAAAATGAATGAGAAAAAACAAACTTCCGGAACAAACACACTGAAAAAACTAAACAAAAAACATGGACGATCGCTAATGCACTCTCTCTGCAAAGCCTATCGCCACAACATTCCAGCATCCATTTCCCAGAATTCCAAAAGCAGGAGGTCATCATCTCAGGAGGCAACAACTAGTGAATACAACATTGTTTTCAGTTATTATGATAATAATAATAATGACATTATTGTTTTACCTCTGCTTTCAACAGAGCTCCAAGCGTATTATTATTGAAGAAGCCTTTTGTTTCATCCTCTTGAATCTGGTGCGCAGATCACAGAAGCAGAAACGACTCCTGCTGAATGTAAAAAAGCACATTTCCATCCTGAATGTTACTGAACTGTATTGTACATAGACCTTCGAGGAATAAGGGAATATTTGTTTATTTCTTGTTGCTTTATTTAATTTTATTCTGGAGAGGATTGGACCGAATGCTGCCATGTGCAAATGTACTGCTTTGTTTTGTTTTTGTTTTAATTACATTTTTATTTTATATATTTTTAATTCATTTTTTTTGTATTTTTTTATTTTAGTGTATTTTTTGTTTATTTATTTTATTTACATATTTTATTTTATTTAAATTCTATTATTTCAGTTATTCATTTAATTTATTTTAATATAATTTAAATATATATATTTAATTTATTTTTTTTCACATTTTTTAATTAATTAATTTATCATTTTATTAATTTATTTAAATTTCTTATTTGTTTTTATTTTTATTTTATTTATTTATTATTAATTTATTTTAATTTATTTAAGTTTTTTATTGAATTTATTTGTATTTATTTCATTTTATTTTATTTATTTTTTACTTTATTTAGTTTATTTATTATTTTATTTTTGATTTTTTTTCCATGTATTTTTATTTGTATTTATTTCATTTTTTATTTTACTTATTTATTTATTTTTAATTTAAATTTATTCTAAATATAATTTTTTAATTTAATTTTAATTATTATTTTTTATTTTAATTATTTAATTTATTATTTTTTTAAAATAATTTTATTTTTTTAAGTTTTATATATTTATTATTTTAATTTAATAATTTTTTTCTTTATTAATTTTTATCTTATTTTGATTTCATTTGTTTTAATCTATTGTGTTTTTTATTTTATTATTTTTTATATTTTTAAATTTTCATTTATTATTTTAATTTTTTGAATTTAATTTATTTTTTTAAATATTTATTTTATTTTGACAGTGTTGATGCTTCAATGCTAGAGGTGCCTTGTTTTTATTTTAAATCCGTGCCTAAGAAACGTAGGTAAGAAGCTTGAAGCTGTTCCCCTGACACTTGAGATTTGTGGATAGTATTTTTTGGCAGCGGTCAGCGGCTCGCATTGAAGTAAACGGCTGATGCACTTTGATTTGACGCGGTGCAATGTATACAGGCACCTGCGCGCTTACACCCTACCTAAATACACACATGTACCCCGGTAAAGCTTTGTCATGTGACAAACAAGGTCATCGCTAACCACAACGCACATCTTAATCCTGACCTGTTGTATTTATAAAAGACCATTGATGGTTACAGCGCTAGAATGTGTTTGTTTTTGAACCCACAATGCATTTGTCTGTTAGCAAGCGTTCAGTATTTTGTAAAGGAAACCAAACGTCTGCTACTTGAATGACAGAAAAGCCATCTGTGTGTCTAAACCCAGTATAGTAGCTTAAATGACAGTGCCGTTCGCCAATATTGGCACCCTTGGTATAGAATAAGGATTTGAGAAATGTCTTTGTCTGAACTTTTTGCTCACAACATTAGAAAATAAAAAACTGAACTGAGAAAAAAAAATCAATTGAGCAGGAGAATTCAGTAAACGCCTGTTACTGTTTCTAACTCTGATAAACAAATAGAGTTGCTATTTATTACGACA